AGAGAGAGAGAGAGAGAGAGAGAGAGAGAGAGAGAGAGAGAGAGAGAGAGAGAGAGAGAGAGAGAGAGAGAGAGAGAGAAGGAGAGAGAAAGAGAGAGAGAGAGAGAGGCATTTGAGGTAAATGCTTTGTTGTTGTAGAGAGGTAGAGCAACTTCCAGAATGGTCAGATGAAGAGGCGTGGTGTCAAACGGCGCATGAACCTCGAAAGTTCAATCCCACCACTGCAAAATATGCAGCAATTTGCCAATATACCCCTCGACAAGCAATGCTATTTCCATGTGCCGTGAGGGGAACTTGGGCAAGGGTTGGGTGTAGGGAAGGAGGGGTACACACCATTATGAATGGAGGCTATCTACACATGTGCCCCCTTAACCTAGGAACGTTGTTTACAATGAGTGGGGGTAGGACCCTGTGGGTCTTTCCAAGAAAAGGAAAATTGAAGAGTAGAGAAGGGGGTGTGGCCTCGGTATTGGGTGAGCAGAAGGGGAGGGGGGAGGAGGGTAGGGGCAGGAGGGAGTGGTAAGGGGGCAAGGTGGGGAGGGATGGTATGTGTCCGTGGGGTGTGGCGATGAAGAATAGGTGCGCATGCACTCCTCCCTTATCTCAAACAAGCATTCTAATATCGCTCCGGGCAAGCTAGGGAGGGATGGTTTGCGTCCGGAGCGATATTAGAATGCTTGCTTTAGAGTGAGTGTCTCTAGAACTCTTCTTCATGGGGATGCTTACCATGACTGATTTTGCTTTGATGTCCGACCCTCAGTGATTATACCGTCTCCGCCCGAAGAGAACACTCAGTGATTATAGACTGAGTATTCGGGGCCAACAGACCCCGAACACTCTGTCTCTATTTGGGGCAACTTTCAGTTCCGATGCAGCGACAATGACCGGGGGGCGGGTTCTATTTGAGTGAAGACGGTAGGTAGACCCTCTGCATGCATGCCTTCTGGGTGGAAGGCTCGGCTGTTACGGCTGTTTCGAAATCTATGTATCTGATGGCTTGGTCGCTTCGGGAGAGAGGGGGGGGGTCTTGTCACTGCTTTCCCAGACGGTTGTGGGCAAAGAGGGGGGAGATCCAAACCCTCGATATGCACGGAGGTCAGAAGCCAGTAGTCGCTAGGCGCATGGTGTTGAATTGGTGCTTTACTTTCCTTCTCCTTTCCTTTTCTGCTCTGACCATTTTCCGGTCCCATAACTTTTTTCTTCATCTGGTTCTGGAGACCACGCAAGGGCCGGTAAGGTGCTGTCACTCGTTCGTCTGTTTCGTCAACTTACGCTCTTTATAGTGCTCCTGCTCTGGCTGTTGGCAACAGACCAGTTTAATTTTGATGAATTTCACCGATAATGTTTGAAATTCACATACAAGTTGATACAACTTGATAGAAGTAATGATGGATAGGCTGCAAGATCGAATCTGGGTGGACAATGGACACAACAAGAAAGGTGTACGCTTTAGAAAAAGAGGTGTTAAGTTCTCACGTCGACCTTCTTCTTGTGTATGTGGGTGGATGGGTTGCAGGGTACTGGGAAGGCAGGCGGGTGAGCAATAGCTCTCTCATGGCTCTACACTTCAGAATGGTGGGTAGAAGGAAGCATCCCTGGATGATCGAATAAAGGTGGGTGAGAGAAGCTGTGGGAGAAAGAGTGAACGGCTGAGGTTCTGTTGTGATGACAAAAATTGCTGCTCGATCTTCCCAAGTGAGCCTTTGGTCCGTATCATCACAGCTAAGGTACAGCCAAGGTACAAGTTGTGCTGAGTGTTGATGAGGATCACCCGCCAGACGTCTGAGGAGGTTGTCGTGCGGGTGGATGAAGATGAAGGCAACGCTGAGAGGATCTTCTTGTGGGCACAGACAAGATGTAGTATAGGTTCCGTAGTTTCTCGGTCAATGTCCCGTTTTCTCAATAGCCCTCCAGCTAACGGTGGTGGTGTATTTTCACCCAGCCTGCGGGGAGAGATCGGGTGACCGACTTTACTTCTTCAACGCACAATTTTTGGTGCACTTTTAGGAGCGAATTCCTGTGTCATCTGTACCGGCAAGCAGCATTCGTTGTCATATAAATGCACAGGTCTGTAGGCAGGTGGGTTTTACTGTACAGTTTGGGCCCTTTGGGGGGTAAATAAGTAATAAGCCATCACAGAAGTGAAATGCAAGAAACACGCCGATGTGAACTGTTGTTGAGCTTTTCGATGAATGATCTGATGGGCAGGCTTCTGCTGCTTTGAAAACAGAGAGGGAGCTTGATGGTCTGTAACTGATTTACCCATTTCCCACCACCTTGGCGATACGTCTGTTGGGAAGCTCATAGTCCTAGGATGGTTATGCTTTGTGACTTTGTGAAACTTACATAAGAAAGAAGTGCATACGGATCAGATGGACGAAGCCAGTGGAGGTTTGCTAGATTCGGCCTTGCAAAGGCCTTTGAAAGATCAAGCCCAACCAAGTAGCTATACGCTGATGGAGGTGGATGGCAGGAATGGTGGCGCCGAGGAAGCAGTGGCAATGGAAGTTGACGGTGTTCGTGCAGCAGCCACGCCATTGGAAAAATTGCCGGGATCTAGGTCGGTGGTGGGAGATCGTGTGGTTCGTGAAGTTGATGTCCTCCTTTGCCCCCGGCCGGAGAACGATGGCATGCAGCTATACCTCCTTCAATACCCTCTTCGGCCGGCTTGGCGGCCGTACGAACTGGAGCAGCGGTGCCAGGAGATCCGCGTGAAGCCTAAGCAATCAAAGGTGGAAGTGGACCTGTTTGTTGACAGTCACACGGAGAACTACGATCAGGAGGCGCACGACCACTTGAAGATAACGCAGCAGACATTATCGTCTTCCCGTCTGCAGCTGCAAGCTAATTATGCAATTGGTCTGTTGCGCGAAAATGAACTCCACCTCTCGCCATTGAGCGCTGTTGTTCAGTTAAGGCCGAGCATGAAGTATCTTGACGCAGCGGACGAGCGGAAGCGAGCTGTAGAAAAAGTGAACGAGGAGGAGAATGAGGAGGAGGATGGTGGTGGTACTGGCCCTTCGGGCCTCGTCCCGCTTCAAGTGCAGATTCGGCGGAAGTCGACAGAGCATGACGAGGAGCAACGAATGCAGTCGTATGCATACTTGAAGCAGCAAGAAGATGCTGAAGCATGGGTCATTGTGGAGCCGCATGCATCCGGTAGCGACGAAACCATAAAAAGGAGGAATATGATGATATCGTCTTCGAAGGGCACACCAACCACCGTGCTGTCGCCCGAAGACTACGTGCTAACACTGATGCCAGGAAGGCTTTCTGGCAGTGGACATGAGGCGGTTTCGCAGGATGGAACGGGAAGTGCTGGCCTGTCACGCAGCTTCTTGGAGACGCTTCCGCTGGATCGTCGCATCCATGTTCTTTTGTCTAAGGGTCAAACTCACATTCTCCAGTTCGACCGGCTGATGAAGCTTGCACCTCACGGTAGCTCAGAGCTACAGCTTCTTGAGGTTGTGCAGCGGAAGGCGATGCTCGTGCAGGGATGCTGGGTGGCAGCCAGTTACCTGCGATACAATCGCGTTGTCGCAACGATTCGTGATTACATCCTGCTGCTGTTCACAAAAAATCGCATCGTGACGCGCGATATGCTGGAGCCGCTGAACGTGTCGAAAGAGATACTAAGAGAGATTCTTTCACACCTTGCAGTGCAGAGGGGACCAGGGATGGGGTGGGAATTCCACGAAGACACGGACAAGCATTTCATTAGGAAGCACGGGGGGATCGTCAAGGAGCAGGCCGGCCTGTGGGAGATATCGGAGGCGAACATAACCAAAGCTGCGTTATCGATCAGAATCACCACTGCGCAAGAGCTTGGCAATCCAGCACCTATAAGTGAGGAGGTGGAGACAAGAGTGTGGGACGAGGTAATGGCGAGGAGTGCAAAGATAGCTGGTGGGAGCGAGGCACTTAAGGGGGGGGTCGCTGGTGCAAGAGGGGGGGGGGGCATATCGGGTACAGACACGGACTTGTCTACGGGTGCCGGCGGTGGTAAAGGGCGGGGCTTGCTACAGGGCCTCGCTGTGGGGAGAGGAAAGGCGGCATTGGAGTTGCCAATACCCGGCGGAACGATGTCCGAGGAAACAAAGGCTGCACTTCCGGGCGCGCTGAGGGAGATCTTTCTCAAACACAATGTCTGCAATCTGCAGTTCATATGTCAGTGCCTGCGCGAGAGAGCGATTTCCATCTCCGCTGCTCCAAAGGTGAATCCCGCCGTCGCAGCAACCGCTCTCGCTGCAGCAAAAGCAGCCTCTGCACCTGTTGCTGAGCTCTCGGCTGCAATTTGCAATGTCGCCACGTGTATCGATGGCATCTACTTCCTGCAATCCCTCGGAAACCCCACGCTCGACCCCTTCAGGGAGGTGGTCGTCGCCCTCTTGCGAACAAAGAAGGGTGCGTCCGCAGGTCTGAGGAAGGTAGACTTGATCGAAGCCGCAAAGATAGCACTGAAGGGTGATGTGCCGAACATTGTATATCAGAAGGTGTTGAAGGAGCTGTGCTACACAAGAGGAGGAGTTTGGGTTCTCAAACCAGGAGATGGAAGGCCATCGTAACAAAAAAAAAAAAGAAGAAGAAAAGAGGACAGACAGAAAAAAAGAGGGGGATGGAAGGGCTGCTGTGAGTGCGAGTGATGTGTCTGGCAATCTTTCTACTCTCTTTCTGCCGTGAGGGATGTGTCTGCCAATCATCGAACAAAAAAGTTTGGAAAAATGTGTCTGGCAATCATCGAACAAAAAAGTTTGGAAAAAAAACTAAGTAACAGAAGAGGAGGAGGTGGTTGGACTGTGAAGCCAGCAGCAGATGGAAGACCATCTCTGTGTCTGCAGATAGTTTGACAAGAAACGTTAGGAGGTGAAAGGAGGGGGTTGGGCAATGGGCTGTGAAAAAGAAAGCGCACTCTTGCGCCTTCGGCCTTTCCATACTAAGGCCACGGGGCTCTATTAAAGGCAGGCGTTTGGTTAGTGGACCACAGGTCTTTATTTATTTGTTTTTTTTTTTGGGAAAACCACAGGTCATTTTTCATTTCCGCGACTGTATTGTAATTGTCCCTATACTCTTAGACGATGAAATAGCGGGTCTCACGTAACGTTCCCACGCGAGACCCTTTTATTCCCACTTGGTGAAGTACGCGCTCTGTTAAACCACCAGTACCTGGCCCAGCTATCGGCCGCGGCGCTTCCTGTATACGCGCCGCGCCATTTGGGCTTCGGCCTGCCGGACCGCATTGGCAGGAGGCCGCAGGCAAAGCCAGATTTTATAACTGCCCTAAAGTTGACAGCTAGAAAATTGAAAAAGAAAATTGTGACGGCGGTTCGGCAGGACTTGGCGTGCAGCGTGCTGGGAGGCTCGGATTCAATAGCTGAGCGAGGTACTGGTGGTTTAATTTGTCCGGTCGCACATTTGTTACGCTCTCGGCGGCGGCTTGAATCTCCATGCAGGGCGGAGTTAGGTGTGTTTTCCTTTGGGCCCCAGGCGCGTTGCAAACATCGTGGCCCTCCCGAAGGTTTGAATTTGAATCCAAGTTCATGGGGAAATCCGAGAACGGGCTAGGGTCTACTACTGAACGAAAGGAGGGAAATAGGAATGAAATTCAATGAATCTTCCAGTAAAGGATGGAAAGATACAACGGCATACTTATTACTACTGATATGGAGGGCCCGTGGAAGTGGAAGTTTCGGACCGGCCACTTCGGGCCATAGTCTACTACTGATGAAATGAGGGAAATGGGAATGAATCTTCCACTAAAAGATGGAAAGACACACCGACATATTATTACTGACTGAGGCGCCGACGATGGCCCTTCGCATGGGTCCCGGGACGGGAAAGTGGCCGCATTCATTTGTCTGGCATTGTCATTTGCAAAGGTGCATTGGAAAGGTGCGGTTGCGAGGGATGATAAGGCGGACCCCGCGGATGAAGGTGAGGCCAAAATACGGCAGTGTAGCTTTCCATGTTCTAGCGGAAGATTCATTCTCGTTTTGCACAGTTCGCGAGTGCTTAACTGAGCCCATTGGTCATGGTAATCCTCTCCGCAGGTCTCTCTCTCTCTCTCGCGCGCGCGCGCGCGCGCCTGCGCACGGTGTTCCTGGAATCACATGCCTTGAGCTGGAATCGTATAAAGCCTAGCGATTTTCAGTTTGTACTTGCAGACTGAGTGTGAATTCATCTCTCTCTCTCCATCTCTCTCCACCCCCGTCTGTGTGTGTGTGTGTGTGTGTGTGTGTGTGTGTGTATGTGTGTGTGTGTGTGTGTGTGTGTGTGTGTGTGTGTGTGTGTGTGCCGATTAACGTGCGTCATCCTTTGCAGGGGAGGAACGGTCCGCGGAGGGAGGAAGCCGATCATGGGAATGAGAGAGGGGAGCAAGGGAGAAAGATCATGAGGGGGGTGTTCGGCATCATTTTGACCTGAGTGTGAACGGAACTCTCCACCTCTTCATGCACAATACCGCTTGAGAAAGAACGTGGACCTCTCCATCTCTTCACACACAACACCAAGAGAGAGAGAGAGAGAGAGAGAGAGAGAGAGAGAGAGAGAGAGAGAGAGAGATCACCCTACGCCTGCGGTGCTTCTGCTTGTAGTATATGTAAGGCACCTTTGCTTTCTTTGAAAGCCTGCAGATGGAAGGCTGCCATCTCTGCGTCTGTGGATGGTTTGACAAAAAAAACGTTGAAATAAGTAAGTTGCAGACCGGCCAAAGCTCGGCGCGCACCTCTACAGTAAAACTCTGCCTCGGCAAGAAGAGGCTCGGAGATAGTGGCGATTTAAAAAGAAAAGGGAAAAAAAGTAAATCAGTGACAACCGTTTGCATAGAAGCTTGCAGCAGTCGTCAGTGACAACCGTCTTCACCCCCGAATAGAACGCATGGTCATTATTGCTGTATCTAGACTGAAAGCTGCCCCAAAGACAGCTATAGTGACCGGGCGTTCTATTCGGTTGAAAAGACTGTACTTATAGATTCTGAGAATGCTAGGGTACTGCAATTACAGAGAGGCAATGCACCGCAGCTGGACAAAAGCTGTTGTTTTGAATAACTGGAATGCATCAGGAGCCTCTTCCATCTGCAGAGTGTTGTTTTTTGTTTTGTTTTGTTTTGTTTTGGCATCGCCGGCCACCTGACCTCCTCCCGCCTTCAAAGAATGCGGACTAGGTTATATTGGCCCTCGCTCCACTACACAACACTGTACATGCATTTGGACGCTTTCTTGCCCGAATACATTCACAATGTTGGAATTGCACCTGTTCCCTCGAGTGTCCAAATGCGTGTAGAGTGTTTTGCAGTGGAGCGAGCCCCTATATTTACTACTTTGCCTCCCAGCCTGAAAGTTAGTGGTGGTCTAAACCGCAAGTACACGGCCTCAGCCTTGCAGAAAGTTTTTGTCTTGATAATAAAGACTGTGAGGAACAAGCCCTCAAGGGGCGCTATCAGACATCACATGTTCTGGACTAAGGCCCCCAGCAAGCCCAGTGCCCGCCCTTAGTGAAGGCGGGCCTGAATATTCGTCAGAGGCCAAAATTCGACATTTTCATATGTGGGTATTCAGGCTCTTGCAGCACGCCAGTTGGTTGGGTAGACGCGTGAGCCTCACTAAGCTGCGTCATACAGTTGGCCCAGGCCTAGACAGTTGCGCCTGGGCACATACACACAAAGCAGGGCCAATACATTGGGAAGCTGGCCATCGGCCTTTGGAAAAGCAGTACTGCCGACGCACCTGTCTGGGAGCCCTGCACAGATGCAGCAAACAACCCAAGTCCGGGGACTCAGGCCGTGTCCAACTGAAAAGGGCCCAGGCCCTCAACTGTAGTCTCGGCCCTGGGCGCAGGGTCTGAGGCCCAACCGGAAGCTATTGGAAGCTTCCAGCCAGGCCACACGCAGCATTCAGGAGGCTGCCACTTCCATAAAAGAAGTGAGGCAGCCCAGGTTAGGCATTCTGGCCAGTGCAGGCAATGCAGAAGTGCTGCTGCGCTATCGCTTGATGCTGCGCTGCTGCCAAGGGCGCCGACAGGGCGCGTAGAGGTGAGGTGGGGCGCTGCAGAGCAGCACGGCGCAGGCAGCCATAGCCGGGCTGCTGGGCGCCAGGGGGTAGGAGGGCGATCAGGTGGTCTTCAGGGAAGGAGGCGTGTGGGGTAATCAAGGTCTGATTGAGGGTGACGAGATACGTCCCTGGTGCATGAAGAGATGTCGGCTATGGAGTTGACAGTCATGTACATTGGTCTTCGAGAGTCGAAGTGAGCCTGTTGCGTGAACCAGCTGTAGGTAGGACAGTCGGGCAGAGTAGGTTGGGCGCTGGGCGCCAGACAGAGAGGAGCGACTTTGGATACTGTGCTGGTGTGGCCTACGGGCTTGAACATTGGCTCATTACTTCATTGTATTGCTCTATATGGATGGTTTTCTCGGTGCATTTTGTACTCTCTGCTTGGATACGACTACCTGGACATCTGTGTGATTGCGCAACTTGGTTTTCTGTATATCGTTCACACTCATATTCCTTGCAAGATGTTCGCTTTTCATAAGAAAAAAAAAAAAAAAAAAAGGTTTTTGTCGCCACAAGCGAAACTCGGAGGGGCCGCGCGGTTTGGGGCGCCGTTGAAAAAAAAATTGGCGGCCTCGGAAGTGGTGCGGGTTTCGTGCTGACACCCACGGGCTGATGTGTGGTGTACTGGTGCCTCCATCTATTCGGGTGGCACCAATGCAGTTGCTGTGCTCACCTTCGCTAGTGTGGTTGTGACTGCGGTTACTTTGCTCACTTTGATAACTGGGGTGCAGTTACTGTGTTGTGATCACTGTGGTTACTACGGTGGCTATTCCCGCGGCTATTACCGTGGCTACTACCATGGCTCTACTACCGTGGCTTACTTCTACCTGGTTGCTGCTACCTGGTTACTACGGTGGCTACGAGTGTGGTTACTATCACGGTAACTACGATGGTTAGTACAGTAACTGTTTTTACAGTGGTTTAATGCTCTTGTTACTACGGGGGACTACTACGGTGCCTACTAATGTGGTTATGAGCGTGGTTACAACCGTTGTTACTGCTGTGGTTACTACTGTGGCTACATCTGTGGCTAACACCGTGGTTACTACCATGTTCCTAGAAATACAACAGACGGCCATAACAGCTGTATTTGGGTCAACTTTCTGTCTAGATACTGAGATGATGATTGTTTATTCCCTTCGGGTCAAGACCGTAGCGCGCTGACTAGTGTGGTTTCTCTTGTGGTTAATGTGGGTTACCGTGTGCCACTGTGGTTACTGTGGCCATTGTGTTTACTGTGTTTACTGTGTTTACTGTGTTTACTGTGTTTACTGTGTTTTCCTGTGTTTTCCTGTGTTTACTGTTTCTACTGTGTTTACTATGGTTTGTGTGGACATGGTAACACAAACCATAGTAAAACATGGGTGGACATGGGTGTTACCATGGGTGGGAGTCGGTACATGCGACCATCTTCACCCGAATAGAACGTTTGGTCCTAATTATTGCTGTGTGTATATAATAGACTGAAAGGTGGCCCAAATACAGCTATAATCACCAGGTGTTCTCTTCAGGTGAAGACAGTAGCTTCTGCTGGTTGTGCTGTTGTGTTTGCAACTTTGCGCGTCATACTTGTGGATGGATTGGAGATAAGAGCTGCGGCTGTTTAGTGCTGTGTATATAGACCGAAAGTTGCCCGAAATACAGCTATAAGCACCGGAGGGTTGTGAGGATAAGATTCTGGTGTCTGTTTGGATTTGGAGCAAAGCAACTCTCTTTTTTTTTTTTTTCTTCTCGGAGACAAAGATGGGCCTTTCTTGTTCTTGATGAAAAGAAGTAGTTGCCCCAAATCTCATTCTATGGATCCAAGTAGCGTGCGGCGAGGCGCGGGTTGGAGACTTAGCTGTTGGCCAAGGTTGGAGACTTATCGTCTCTCTCTCTCTCTCTCTCTCTCTCTCTCTCTCTCTCTCTCTCTCTCTCTCTCTCTCTCTCT